TTTATGAATATTTTTTTTTTTTTTTTTTTTTTTTTTTTTTTTTTGGCTTTTAAACCAATTTTCTGCTTTTCACACGCAACTGCTGCCAAGGCATGGCACCGGCTTTCACCTTTTCATACTTACTCTTCCTCTATCTGTCTCTCTCACTCCCTCTCTCTTACTTTATGAAATCACAACCCACATTCTCTTCTTTTTTTTTCTCGTTTTTAAGCATGCAAATTTAGGCACATTAAACTCTAGACTACATAGCCTCCTCTCCTACATATTACATGGGCCACTCCACCACTACTCTAGTATATTAGGCATCAAAATGTTTTTTTTTTTTTTTTGCTCATATCCTACAACGTCTTGTTTTGTTTTAAGTTAATGCGGAATTTCTCTAGTAGGATAAAAAAAAACTATCGACAGTTCTTTTTTTTAAGTTGTCAGATATTTTTTTAATTTGATATAATTTTAATTAGATCTAACGATTAGAAAACTTAAAATTCTTAGGTTTAGATACATCATCAAAGTAATTAGAGAGAGATTACAAAATTTGAGAGGTTTCTATTCTTTTAGAAATACTAATTTAACTACGTGTAATTTACATATTAAGTTGTAATTAAAGTTTTAATAACATAGATTATAAAAAACAAAATATAGAAAATAATTTATTGAGAATTTTAAAATGAAATATATAAATAGTAGTCAGTTTGTACGACACTTTAAAAAAAAAAAAAAAAAAAGACAAATCTCTTAAAAGTATAAGAGTCTAAATTTTTTTATCATTTATTCTTAATTAATATCTTTTTTAGTTAGATGACTATATTAGTTATAAAGGTATTGATCAAAAGTAAAAGATAAGAATCTAGATTCATGTATTCTAACAATAAATTCAACAATTTCCTCTAAAAATTTAACAAAAGGAAAGAAATGAAAAAAGTAAAAAAGTATGAAAAAAAAAAAGGAACGAAGCTGAGCATTTTGGACGACCAAAAACACACAGTGACTTCCTTTTTCACTCTTTTATATATAGTGAAAATATATAACTAGTTCATAAATTATTTTTTCTTGCAAGAATTAGTTTGTGCGGACAATTTTGTCTCACAAATAGATTTTGAATTGAAAAATTATTTTACGAAACGTCCTTTGATAAATTTTGGATAAAAACCCATAAATAGGACATATGATTGTTATTGTTAAAACTCGATACACGTTTTTTTTTTTTAAAGCGTTCATTTATAATTATCTGTGGACCTGATTTACGTTTGAGATTGAGTCTCCTTATGTCTAAGGGTCAATTTCTCAGTATTAATACTCTTTGATTTGATATGAAAATTCCTTTAAAAATTGGACTTGTGAAAGGTGCACTAAAAACATGTACTAAAATTAATTCTTCAGAAAATCATCTATTTTTTTTATGCAATGCACTCGAGGTTATCAAAAAAAGTCATATGTCTTATTTTGTATTATAAATTATTAACATCTTCAGATTTCGAATTTATGCACAACTCTTACCTTTTTCTCGGTTAATGGTAAATTTTGACCACTAAAAAGACCAAAACATCCTTAAAAAAATTTCAAAAGAATAAGAAAAAAATGAAAAAATGAAAAAATAAAAATATATAATCTAAAAGACATTTAGGTGACATTTGATTTGATGTAATAGAATGGAATAGCAATTGGGAATACTAATATAATGTAATAAGAATAGAAATAGATTAAAGGATTTATTCAAATTCTATTGTTTCGTTGAGCATTGAAAATTATAATTAATATCAGAATTATATTAGAATAGAATCATATACAATATGTTTTGATTAAAATACCCTTTCATTTAATTATTATTAATGTTTTAATATTGGGATAATGAAAAGGTATTTAAAGTAAATTTAGAACATTAGGAGGAATAATTTAGGGAGAGAGTTTTAATTAGTATTAATTTTGCAATGGAATGATCATTCAAATGATTAACTTTAAAAATTATTTTTCAATTTATAAAATTTATTTTTTAATTTAGAAGTGCAAGTTTGAGCCCAACCAAACAGGTCGGTCCGTGGACCGAGCCCGACTAGGCCTGAAATTTTAAGCTCGAAAGCATTTTCAAGTCGGGTCAGGCTATGCCGGCTCAAGCACTCTCTTTTTATTTTTATTTTTATTTTTGTTGAAATGCCTTTTAAAATTTTAGGCTAGCATGTTGGGTTTTAGGGCTGAGCGGCCAAACTTTAACTTCTAATTCAACTATTCGATGGAATAGCAATTTCATAAGAATAACAATTCTTAAGAACGTATTCTTTTACCTAATTCAAATCACAATTTAAATTTTTTATTATAATATTTTTTTCACAAAAATTTAAATTTAATTTTTTATTATAATATTTTCTTTCACGGTACTCAAATTTAAAAAAAGAACATACCCTAAGGGCCCGTTTAGTTCGTTAATTCGAGTTTTTAATTTGAGTTGAGATGTGATTTTATGTGAAAGCTTTTTACTGTAGTAAAAAAGTTAGATGTGATTGTTTGTGAGAGCTTTTTACTGTAATAAAACTTAAATTCTAAACTCGAATCAGCGAAATGAACGATGCCTTAAGAATGCGCGTGGATTTTAGTAATTATCATTAAATTCCCATGGTCATTTTATCAAACCAAAAGTACTCTTAAATTTTTTTTCATTGTATGTACTCTTAAATTTTTTTCATTGTATGACGACAACAAATAGTACAACGACAACAAACTGGCACTATCTGATGCCAATAGCTTTTATTTAATAGTACAATGACAATAAATATTTTTAACAACACAACAATATTAAAATAGGGAGCTGGATTAAAAAATATATTAGGAGTAGTTTTCTATTTTAATCATAGATTTATATAAAAGATTATTTATTTTTTTAATTTAATGTAATTTTAATCATACGTAATAGTCATAAATTTAATACTACTGATAGGATTGTCCCTACTAGAAAAATTCTCACTAAAAAATTGTAATAAAATTATCATTAAAAAATTGTAATCTTTTTATTTGCATCTCCACTTAAAATGTCAAACTTACCCTTAGTAACGATTTCTTACCCATTTACACTTTGGGCATTTTTTTTTTTTTTGCATGAATTGAGTTAGTGGTAATTCGGGTTGACGGGTCGTGTTGACTCTCTCAGTTGACACAAATAGGTCTGACACGAACACGATCTGTTTATTAATCGTGTCGAAATACAAAACCCAAACACGACATGTATATTGACAGGTTAACACGACACGACACGAATAATCTGTTTATTAAACATGTCATAAACGTGTCGTGTCAACCCGTTGAGTACCTCTCAACCCGTTTATAAAATGAGTGATAAATAGGTCGTGTTAACCTATTTGTGAGCATGTTTATAAAATATGTGATAAATGGGTCGTGTTAACCTATTTCTGAACCTATTTTTTAACATGTATATAAAATGGGTAATAAACGGGTTGTGTATTCGTT